GCCCAGACGCCTGCGGTGAGCCCCTGTCCTCCTGCGCAGCCCCTCCCGCCATCTCGTCCACCCCCACCCCCCAACCCCAGTGGACCCTCGCTCCCTGCGGCTGGGGTGGCTGCCAGCTAGAGAGTGACTTTGGTCTGGGGCAGCAGTCTCCTTTCATCTTTTTCATGAAACTCTTTGAGAACTCTTGCCCTTCCGCCCAGGCCCAAGGGACAGAAGAAAAGGGCTTTTGTCTTTGCCTACATTTGGGCAAGAAATGATAAAGGGGGGGGGGGGTGATTTCTGGGCATGGGGAGTGGGCCTGTTTGAGGGCTACCCCCAGTTCCCCCACCAGACTTAGGGGTTCCCTTTGTGCCCCTGCAAGTCAGCCCTTCACGTTCAGCGTCTTCCCTGGGTTGGAGAGGCTACTGTTCACACCCGGTCTGGCTGCCCCTCCTGGGCCCCTCCCCAAAGCATCTCTGAGCCAGGTGCAGGGCCCCAGGTTGGCTCTGCCTCTTTCCAACCCCTCTCCCCCTACAGCCCCTCTGCAGGGAGAGGACGGGAGGGATAGGCGCACAGCAGTGCCCTTACTGTGCCCACAGGCTCCACCCAGCTGCCCCCATGCAGGGACCTCCCCAGCTGTGCCTGCATCTTGAGCAGCTCTGACTGTCCCCAGGGCCAGGATGAGCTGGCCTGTGGCATAGAACTTGGTTTCCCTGATGGAGGCCAAGGTTGGTGGGTGTGGGGCAGGAGGTGTCTCAGACACAGTCTTCCTACCTGACTGTGTTTTATCTCCTCTTCCCTTCGGAGGGGCTGCCTGTCCTGGGAGGCCCCAACAGGACAGGAGTTCCCTGCCCAGATGGCCTCTGCATCAGTTTCCAGCTGGTGAGGGGTGGGGAGCGGTGGTGCAGGGAGCAGAGCCATTGTGCCACCCAACGAGAAAGGGGCCCTGACCTGTTCCGTCCCCAGGTGTGCGATGGGAAGCCTGATTGTGAAATGGCAGGAGAGGCAGAGCTCTCCCCAGAAGAGCAGGGTTGTGGGGTCTGGGGACCCTGGAGCCCGTGCGGTCCTGCAGCCACACGTGTAGGCCTGGGGTGCAGGGCGGGAG